ATCACACAGGCTGGTGTGCTTCTTCTATGTGGGCTTTGTTGCTTCTCAGCTGGATGGCCACTTGTTTATCTTCAAGCCTTTAAGGCCACAGATGCTATATCTTTTGATAGCTGGGCACCATCAGTTTTCTTCACCACATTTGCCATGCACCCATTTTGTCTTCAGTGGTCTTGTTGGGAAGGTGAGTATCACAGAATGCCGGGTTATTAAAACAGTGTTCTTGTGTTGCGGGAGTACTTGAGTAGAGCCCCAATGTCCATCTGCTACCTTAATACTTAACATATAATTATATGTACATAGATCTATTTCCCTATTGTTACATATGTTTACATATGTACATGACTGTTCTTAGACCTCTATAAATGTCCTTTACCTCCTATTTCTTTCTTCTATTTCCTTTTACTATACTCTTGTCTCACCATCAGGTTCGACCTTCAGTCAGCTTTCGTTAATTTCTCTTGGCTATATTGCCCTTGATCAAGTCCCACCAGGTATCCTACATCCTCCTCGCCATCGATTCTAGATCACATGTTGTTCTGTTGGCATCCCCCTTTGTTTCCCCAGCCCCCTCTCCTGTGTTGCCCTGGAACCGTGGGTCCTATTGTTTTTCCCTCTGGATTGTTCACCCTGCCTATCTTATGTAGAGAGACATGCAAAAGTATTAATAAACACAGAAGCAAAACAAAACAACAGCAAAAAAGAAAAACCTATTAATAGTTCCAGGTCTGTTTGTTGACCTCTATGAGTGTTTTCCAGTCTGATGAGGTGCCACACCCTGACCCCAAAGTCCATTTTTGGGATTCCTCAGGGACTTCATTGCTTTGGTCCCTTTGCTGCTCTGTTACACCCCCTTAAGTGTTTCATCCTGGTGTGGTGTGGTAAGATCAGGCACAATTCCCACTGTTTTCTCCAGTGTTGTCCCCCGTAGCGCTATGGGTAGCGCTATGGGTCGGTGAGGGATGTTGTGTCTTGTGGTGGGGCTGGCCCTGGTCCTCTCTGTGCATTGGCTGCTCCCAGCAGGAATATCATCCTTGGGGCTTGGTAGGCCAGGATA